TCCTTTAATATTTGCATAACCATGAAGAAAAGTTTTTTTTTTAAAATTACTAGACATAACTAGACATTTTGAATTTTCAAAGAAAATCCAGAAATAACGTTCTTATAATGAGAACTTTAGCAAAACATTCTTAGAACATATTTTTGTTAGCTGGGGGTCAACTATATAATGACAGATTTTATCCAAAAGTTTGAAATACTTTCTCATTTCATAAATGGCAGATCTTTATTTTGTATTTTTATTTATCTATAATTATTAATTACAATATTTACAGTACATCATTTGTAAGGCATGTTCCACTGTGACTTCATATAGTGACAACATTCTACGTGATTTACTTGATCTTTTTTCCTGGGTAATAATGTTGGAAATGTTCAATAGCTTTAAACTATTTAAAGTCTCTATCACTTGTCTGTGCAGAAACTGATTTTTCACTATAAATCTACCTTGAGATATATTCCCTGGAGTAAAAAGTCTGAACACTAGCTCCAGTCTCCCTTATAATTGCTGCAAGTGTTAGATACATTTCATAAGATCATTATGGCTCTTTAAATAAACCATTGCAAGCAACATAAAAGGGTAAAAGGTCAGGTATCACACTTCTGTGATGGCATTGCGGAATGGTCCTAAAATCTTTCGTCTCCTTGTAAATTGTCTCTGTGCTGTGACACTTAGGAGTATCTTAAGTCACGTGTATCCTGCTCTTTACATCACTTATTTTAGATCACTTATGAGTAGCTACTTTTAAATCTATCTATCTAGCCTACATTTTCATGATATTTCACCATTCTTTAAGTACCGCTTAACAACAGGGAACATACAATATAGGCAATAACTTACTTGTTTATAATTGTCAAAATATTAAACACGACTAATCAAAATGCAACACACACACACACACACACACGCAGTTGCTTCTGTAGCCCGTAATAGTTATCCAATCACACGATGAAATACTACACTACTGGAAATGTAACGCATGGATGTGTATTTTTACGATTATTTGAATTATTTTATGATTCACTGACTAATAACTAATAATCTAATAATCCAGGAACTAATAATTTATCACAACGCTTACAGAAATGTTAATTTATACGACTGAAATGTGATACATCCTGAATAATTTATTATTATTATTATTTAATTTATTATCGATATGGATAGCAGCACTCCATGGTACATTGTGTTCTATCTGTTCTAAAACAACCACCACCACAACAAAAATGCATTTAAAACAAAAACCAGAATAGGTTGCGCGTGCGCATTGCTGCTGCTGCGTGATGCTAGCAGTCGCTCACATGACGCTAGTGTTTGTTTGTGCTGCGGTTACGAGAAGCTAAACAAATCTGACCTAGTGCGTTTATCAGATGTAGATTTGGCACAGCGGCAGTCTGCACCATAACAACAGTTATCTGAAGAGTCCATTTGAAGGCGCATATTGCACAGTCTGCCATCATCTGTTTTTCTATCGAGTGTGTTTTGATTTAACGTTACTTTGGCAAGAAACATGATGCCCGTCATCCGCAAACAAAACATGCCCTCCGGGACAATTTTTAGGCTGCTGTTGGGTAAGTTTGATTTAAATATTGTGTATTTTGGGCTGCAGGACTATTTGGTCTGGTTATATTTCGGTTAATTA